TTCAGTACTACATGCGTTTTACCTTTACCCATGGATGCACAATAAGAACGGATTATATGAATACTTTCGTGACGTTTCGCTCTCTCAAAAATTGGGCCATTTTGTCTTCATGCTCCAATGAGCAACTCTCATAGGAATGAATGAGCCTCCCACGCTGTATCCAGTTCTTATACATGATCTGTACTGGCTCTTTTCTCGATCTGGTGTACTGGTTAACTCGCTTAACTGGGAACAAATAGCAATCCAATCAATTTACTTACAATTATCTCACAGCAGCCCACACACACACACACACGCACACACACACACACACACACACACACACACACACACACACACACACACACACACTATAAATAGTTTTTTGTACAGTACGCTCCATCTGGATTCACTGAGTTGTATTGTTATGTGGTGAAGTGTTAAGTATTATTTTTAGGCTTTTGAATTGTCTAATTCTAAGGAGTATCAGGTGCTTGATATTCCCCACTTGCTCCCCTCTTGTGTATCAAGGCTTGAGTTGGTGCTTTTACTTGTTGGAATTTCCCCCTGCGGTGACTGGAGCGGCAGAGTTGTCGAGGGTGTACAAGCTATTATCAACTGCTTCCATGCAGAGAATTATTTTTCAAAATGAATGAATTGTTATGGCTAATCGACTCTTTGGTAGACATTGCTGAATACACAGTCGGATGCCAACTTTGCAGAGCACACACACAGGCCTATTCGACTGCTCCATCTTTCACAGAGGCGCACTTAACTTGGCATCTGTTATATCTAAGATTAACTATTTGCCAATCTGAGTTGTGAGGTATCTTGCATAAGAAGACATCTGAGTCCTGTGGCTGCTTGCTGATGAGTCGTTTCCAGTAACTGGGGAACACGTCAGTTCAGGCGTGGGGAATGTGCAGAGAGGATAAAATACTGGAGTCTGCGCCTGCCTCAGACTTCATGTGAGCGTTACAGTACATAACCTGTTGCTGCGGATCAGGCAGCTCTCAGGTGTCAACACACTTACAACATGTGAAGCATCATGGATTAGTAGTTGGTGTGATAGGAGCTACCTGAAAAGACTGCAAGCTGTGCACCCTCAGAGTTTAGGTTTGGCATATCACAGTGAGATTGGTCCCTTAGCAGCAGCAAGCTCATAACACACTCCGTCATAAATCAATCAGTAAATCAATACATGGCTGCCAGCGGTTGCTTATTTTCTCCCTGTGACAAGGAGAGTGGAGCACGTTCTGAGTGTGTCACAAGGGATGTGGCTGATGTATGTTATTTCATTTGAAATGGAAAAAAATTCCACTTCTATGAAGTTGTTTTGTCGAGAAAAAAAACGTTTACCACTGAAAATGTCCTCATGATAATAACAAAAAGCTAATGCATAACAATAGAAAGTTACTCCAATAACAACAACAGTTCTTGCTTGAAAGAAATAATAATTTCCACTTAAAAATCAGCATACAGTAAATTGTTAATAGGAATATATATATACATAGGGCTAATTATTATCCCTAGTTTATTGCCTTGCAAGCTTTTAGAAACTGCATTCAGTCTCACCCTAGTTAGCGGTGAATGCTTGAAAATGTACTATTCTGCTGACTGGATAACAGTATGGGATGTTTTCGTGTCTGTTACATTGGCTTTGCAAGCAGAAAATAAGTCTGTCTCTTTACCTGCTTATAGCTTATTGTGTTTGATCGACAAAGAAAAGGCATTGTCAGTAGGGACTTAACCTGCTGGTGCCTTGTGTATCAGGAGACTTGGTTGTTATGTTGAGCGTATACATGCTGTATAATGCTACTACAGTGCTTGGTATCTAGAGAGAGCAGCTGTTGTCCTCAGTGGCATCTAATCAACAGAAATAGTCGGAGCCTCCCCTCACTGGGACACGGGCCTCGTGGTGCAGACAGGTCACAGCGACTCCTTTCAGAAACAACGCATAAATAAACTGAACATACGATAGTTTATTTGGCACTTCCTGGATTATGTTAGTGCCGGTAACGATACATTTTTCATTAAAGTATCCTTTTTAACTTTGATTCTTCTTTGAATCCGAATCAGAAACACTTAACACATACGAGGAATGCATACATAAACACAGTCAAAGAAGATCAATTGTAATTGCCTTTTATACTGTTACAAACTCTTTTTATATTGGTTAAGCATTGTCTCAATAACTATATTTCTGGGTTCTATGTCAATATTGATTTAAAATGACTATGTCATCCTTGAAAATCAAACAGGATTTATGTATGAATTAGTTGACATCATGAAGTCATCTTAATGTTTTGGTGTTTATTTTTTGTACACCATAGACCCACTGTTATTGCACAACAAGTAAAACCTGTAGTACTTTTTGAACCAGAATCTTATTGACCCATACATACTGTATTATTCTGTTGCCGCAGCGTGAATTCACTGCCAGCATGAAAATGAGCCGGTTTGGTTGCTTGGCCGAGACCTCACATCAGTAAATACCCCACATCACTGTGGATACTCTCTTGGCGGTTGTTGGATACTTTTTTATAGTTGCTGGACTCCTGAGTTAATGCTGTAGGCCTGCCTTTGTAAATATAAGGAGGAGGGAGTAATCCTGCAGCAACATGCTATCTGTTATCTCTGACCTTAGCACCAAGGTCCAATGCCTATCTTAATGGTGAATACACTGTGTTAAAAAGCTCCAGTTTGTGTTGAAAGGTCCATGTCAAACACACTCATAAACAATGGAAAGTGTGTTTTAATAACTGACTCAACAATCTTTCCCAGTATTATTTCTGCCTATTTGCAGAGCTGGAGGCAAAAATGTCAGCTGGTTATCATAGCAGCTCCCCAAGGGTAGCTAATGTTCAAGCTTGACTTGTTCTGAGCCTTAACAACCCTGCATGCTGAGAATCTCACTTTCCGTAGAATATATTCTGAGAGAAACTACAGACACCATTTCCCAAAGTGTTCCTTGTGTAAAGATAGATTCATTACTGTTAGTGTTTCCACTGGCAAAAACTCAAATGGCCACACTACGAGCTCTGTCCTTCCTTGTAAAAATGTAATTTTCCAATGCTGAGAGTCGTTAAAAGAGAGGTAATTGTGTGTGTAATAACACATACTGTAGAGAGACATCCATTTGTAGATTTGAGCTCTGATACAGAAAGGACACAGCAGATATGTCATTAGACAGATTAATATATATTCACGTGCCAGCCTGCTTTTTATAGGTTATTTAACTGATTACTAATGGTTAATTAATGTATAGCTTACATTTACTGGCAGCATGGGGGCTTAGCGGTTAGCCCTGCATGTCACAGCTGCCTAATGGTGCATCTCTGTGTGAATGTTCTTCCTCTGTCTGTGTGTGGGTTTCTTTCCACAGTCACAGCACATGCAGATTTGTTGACTCGATAGCGCTTGTAGTTGTGAATAAAAGTGTCAATTTGAGTTTTGAGTGTGAGTGTTAGTCCTGTGATAGACCAGCGGCCAGTCCTGGGTGAACGGAGCTTCTTTCACCACTGCATGCTGGGATACAGTTCAGCCTGGAGTAACACACCTAACACACCACGACATAAAGTGCAGACAAAACAATCAACATATTGGGTTAAAAAGCAGGTGGCAGGGTAGCTCTTTTTGCACTTGCTCTTATTATCTTGATCATAAAAAGTTAAACATTTAAAATGAATTGTTACATGTTTCTAAACTAGGTATTAAATATGTTGGCAGATTATACCACTGTTATGCTGCAATGTAGATACATGTGTTTTTAGAAGTCTAGCTTGTCTGTAAAAAACGATTTATGAAGCAATTTACTTTACTCTACTTTAAATAATGTGACCTTTTGGGATTGCCTTTCTAACTAAGTTAGAAGTATTAGAACCCATTAAAGCACCACCAACCAACCCCAAGATTTGATGCCGGTTTTCGAGAAAAACAAGTTAAGACAGACTCCTTAATTATGGGAGTGTTTTTTGCATCTTCAGAACATCTGAAAGCATGCAGATGAGAAACATCTAATATTTGCATGTTCCTGTGGTTTGCACCTGCAGTCTTCCACACACTTTCAAACTGAGTCATGAACGTGACATTTGGGATGTGAGTGAATCAGGTCCTAACTGTTTTATTTTTAACAGCGTTGCCTCTTAGATGTGCTGGTGGTGATGGTGGATGGATTAAAAAAAAAAATCATGTCTGACCTTTCAGGGTGTTGTTGCTTTCTGTGCCTAAAGCAGGTTTGTTGAGCGCTTGAGTGACATACAAGTGTGTGCGATCAGAGCCCCACAGAGGCTGCATAGACATGGGTCTCATATGAGTGGTTCATGGGGTACACTAGTTGGTTTTCAGCATGCTCAGTCAAGGTGTTTTAATGGAGACTTCATCTCCATCTTATTTTTCTTCAGGGCTGGGAGGCAGGCAACATCTGAGCACGTACACTAACTTTAAAGTGAAAGTATTTTAGTCAATCCAGTCTACCGTGACCCTCTGTCATACACCTGCCTACACACACTGTTACAAATCTCTATCTTACAAATGCTCACAGCCAAAGACACCAAAACAACCCTATTTTGTGCTTTTCCTCTAGTATGATCACGTTAAATTGAAAAAATGCAATGCTTATTGTGGTTTAGAAGTAAATAAGCTGCAGTCCGCTCTTCCATCTCTGATTGACAGTGGCAGCGACAGAGACCCCTCCCCAGCGTACGCAAACGTTTCACATGGAAACTCTACATTCTGTATGCATGGCTCGGACCACATAGTGTTTTTGAATGGCAGCTATAAGGAAATGTCCCTGTCCTGTTCCAGTAATAGAAAATAAAAGCACCACTTTCACGCCTCATTCTTTTAAGTCTCTATTTTAGCTCATTGTGACTTACTGTAGAGCCTGATAGTGGCGGTTGGGAAAATAGCGTGAGGTTTGCTGTTTTCCATTTTTATTGAAATTGTCCCAAACACTTTGTTTTCACTTTGCGCTCGAGATGATGCTCCATAACTTGTTTTTTGTGTCCATTTCACTTCAGCAGGAGGTACTGTCGGCTCCTTTCACCCGTCAGACTGTGAGGAGAGCACATGGCCTACGGTCTGCAGCCCACTCTACAATCTTCACCCAGCCCCCCACTGCCCTGTCTCCACAGGTAAGTGTCTCTGCATGCATGCATGTATGTATTATTGAAAATAACATGTCATTTTAGACGTTATTGAATTCTGTGTAATAAGGCCTCTAGCACAGACCCACATTTATGAGAGCTTTTGGTGTGTATGTGTCTGACAGGACATTGATCCAGAGCTTCTCTATATATTAACAGCAGCTAGCATCAGCACTCTTAGCACTATTAAAAGCTCACTTTATTGCAGTTTTTAAAGTACGACGGATAGGTCAGTCAGAATGTTTTATCATGATGATATCTGATCTATTTTGGCCGATTTTATTTTGCAATTAGAATAACCTGCGTCACTCAGCCTTATACATTTCTGTAATGGACAATTTTATGGTAAGTTTTATAATTCCCCTTGTGACCTTCATAAATGCAAGAGGCCGAAACTGCGCTAAAAACAAAATTCAGCAGAAAATACTTTCTCTTGGCAGCCTCTGTGTAGATGTAAAATTGGATTGATATTAAAATCCAAATAATCCGTTACAATCAATCCTTCCCTGTTTTGACGAGGACTTATCTGTTGATTCTATTATTTTCAGTTTGCCTGTAATTAGCATGTTAATCCTATTTATGGTTGGTGAGGCCACTAAACGGCAGCCTGTAATAGAGCATTCAAATGTATTCAAAAACCCCACTGTTCAAAGCAGCTTCACCGGGGTGTTGTTACTTTGATTCAGTGTTGACATGAAGCCGCGTGTGCTGCCATATGAATAACCCAATACGGACACCAAATCATCGGCGTGACAAGTATGTATTTGGATTATAAACACCAGCAAGTTTTTGCAAATGCAATGTGTCATGCAACAACGGAAGACAAGCCGTTTGGGTGACATGTGGCTTTGGTGTTAGAGCTAACCACCTGGTCATTTTAACCAGCGCACTGCTGCGTGTGTGAGCCAGAAATGTAATGGTATTCATATTGAAAACGATGATTAGTGCAACAGCGGGGGGAGTTTTTTTTTTTTTTTTACATTGGCAGTCAAATTACAGTCCCATAACTTCTAATATAGTTAACAGTCACATAGATGCACCTGCCACTGGCTGGGACCCATGGGGCTTTAACATTTAAATTAGTTTTTCCGATTAAATAATGGATGAGTCCACGCCATTGTGTGCATGTCTCTTTCTGAGCCCAGTGGCGTGACATCAATGCCAAATGAATTTCTTCCACAGTTATACATTTGATTGACTACCGCCATCTGTTTTCAGATCGCATGGTGGGGTAACCCGGCAAGAGTTTGATTTGTATTATTGTCTTTTGTTTGCAGTGTTGTGTTCAGCAACAAATTGAAAAGTACTGAAATCTCTGAAATTACTGAGGTTTTCTAAATTGTGCAGTGAAATGCAGGTGTGTCATACTCTAGAGAGGATGTGCTAAATGGATAATGACTTTGGATACCAAAGCATGTTAAAATGTCTGTTATTAATTATTTATAGATGTAAAATAGATAATAAAACGAGAGCTTGAAGGACCTGTCATTGAAGTTTCAAATATATCCTAAATGCAAAATGTCTTTTGACTGCTTTTTCCAAGCTAAATAATGAAACCTTAAACTCTGTTTTTAAACAACATGAACATCATTTAAGCATTTATAAAAACTTTAAACATTTGTGATTTCACGACTGAGACCTGCTAAAGACCTGAGTGTTCACATGCGTGTCAGTCTCCATGTGATTATGTGTACAATCGTCTTGTTTTCTACACGGTATCACTCGGGATTACACTTTCGCACTATTCTCTGCACAAGGTGACATGTCAGTGACCTTTCAAAATGACACGAAGACTCGTCATAAGATCCGGCAGTAGGCGTCTCGGCGCTGCCACTTCGTCCTTCCTCTTTTCCCCGACTTGGCTTGGTCACACTATCACTCTGTGCACTTGGTATTCCTGTGAGTAAGGTCCAGATAGAATCCAATAAGGCAGACGCATTATGTTAAAAAGATCAGCTCAAGGTTAAGTGTGCATATTTTCTACCGGAAAATGCGCTTGGCCCACCAACAAGCTTGCACGAGATGAAAGTTTTATGATGAGGACAGGATATTTGTTTCTTGAGTGGTTGAAATCCTTTGTCTATGTGTGGGGTAAGAGATGCATTAGCTCATCTCTTTTTTTCTTTCTGTCGGTGTGTTTAGTTGTGTGGTAACACGCATGGGAGGGAGTGTTTGTTCAGTGTTGCTTTGTTTGCGTTAGTGTAGGAAATGGAGAAGGCAGGCCTTGGTTTGCACAGGGTTGTGGGGTAGTAATACGAGGAAAAATGAGCAGCGGCTTCCCCTTGGACTCCGTTTACATTTTGCTGCAGTATCCCGCTCGGAAAGGCAATGGGGGAAGGTCGCTGAGTGAGAACAGGAAATGTATACATTGCTTTCCCTGCTGGAAAGTCACAACATCAGCCCTGGGTTATCCTAGCAAGGCCGCGTTCACAACGGGGTGAAACAACAGCGCTGAGAGGAATCCAGTCGATAGTCCCAAGTGTCCCCAGTCTCACTGCCTCCAGAGGGAGAGCTGTTTGTTCAGAGTGCGGGTGGGGAGGAGACATGGGAGGCTCAGCAGGGTGTGTTTGCATTGCCAGGGCTTGTTGTCTCTGCTAGGTAGGGCTGGGGATGATATATTCATAACCGCAGTAGAAGGAGGGTATCAGCAAAACCGTGACACAGTGCAGAAACTCAACCAGAATACAAGTCTGGTTATTTAAACTTGTTAGCTCTGCAAATCGGTCTCTAAACAGTGCTTGCTTGCCGTCTGTCATACCCTTACTGCATACTTCTTCTTTATTTACATGTTGTCTTTTATCTTTTCTTTGACATCCCTCTGCATTGCTGCAGTACAGGCACTTGTCTCCTACTTGGCTATGCCAGCACTCCCTCTCTCCCTCCTCCCTCCCTCTATTGCTCCTTGGCATCCATCAGTTTAGCTGCAGCTTCCCATGAGGCCTGATGGGTCATTGCCACACACGCACGCACGCACGCACGCACGCACGCACGCACGCACGCACGCACGCACACACACACACACACACACACACACACACACACACACACACACACACACACACACACACACACACACACACACACACACACACACACACACACACACACACACACACACACAGCAATTCTCAGCAGCACTAGCCATGCATGGACCTCTCGACCCATCTGCGTCTCAGCTCCTACAGATGGGAGCCGAGGCAATTTGGAGAAGTTGTCAAATATCACACCAACACATAAAAGGAGAAATCTGAAATGAGAAGGAAACAAGTTTTAGGGTTTTTTGCTGTAAACTAGCCAGTTCATGCTATCGTGTTACTCAATGTGTAAAGGTACGCAAGGGTACTGAAGATAAGATATTGAAGATAAGATGGTGCTGCAGTTCCAGTCTTCAGAGTTCTTGAGCAAGTCGCACTTTGAACCTGTTTTCCTGGATCCCGTCTATACTAAACTTGTCAATGTAAAATAAACTTGATTTCCTTTATTGAGGAAGCATCTGCCATGTCTTAATAATAGTACAATTCATTGAGAAGTTAAAAGAATCTCTGTCAGTTGAAAGGTTTATGGCTTTTCCCTCTCTTTGTAGGGTGATAATGTTAGTAATGTACATTTTCCAGTCTTTGACAGGCGGGTGTAGTTTTATAGCAGAATGAGCCATTTTACATACAACTATAGTTGCATCGTTGGTGAAGATGGAGTTGGGAAATGGCCAATTACCGAAAACGATGGCTGATGCTCCGGGAGGCTGGTGTGTTATGCAGAGAGCCATGAAAAACACTTTATCGCTCTATATAAAAGATACATTGAACTGCCAGAGCACAAGCAGCTTAGATTATTTTCTGTTTCCTTAAAGTTTTTAGAATCTATCATTCTTTCTGTATATGTGTGCACTTTAAGTTTAGGCATTACCTCAGCAAGAACATTGCCATACCTTCCATTTACTGATTGACTATAAACTGTGTGTAGATGCTAGTCCAAATGTGTAGCTCCTTGCCAGAAGGGGGAAGAATGAGATTTTGCTTGAATGTTGTCACAAAGAATTTGTGCTCGATTCTAATTTTCAAACCTGATTTGTTGTATAATGGCACCAAGGAGATTTGGAGGAAAACAATATAGAAAAGTACTAAAGGATTTGCTCAATTGCTCTTTTTTTCATTTCCCCCTTCTGTTAGTGAAAGTGGAATAGTGGAGTGAGAAATGTCAGTGGAAGATGCTGTGTGCAATTTGAGTAAACAAATAATATATATACTCCTTTCCTGATTCATTACTCTCAACCGCAGGCATAATACACACGTTTGTAGATTCAGTGTGACTTACAATTCCTGGAGACATCATTATCTTTATCAATTGTGAATAAATATCCATAAATTAGCTTAGAAGTCTCAGAAAAAAACCTCTCTTTAACTCCAGAACTTGCCAAATGAATCCAGTGATAGTTGTCTAGACATCCATGGATTCCAAAAAGCGACTGGTTATAGCTAATTAGGCACACTCTTAATGGTGATCATTATCCAAAATATTACAAAATATAGACTTCAGTGGCGAGCCGTGACTTTTGTACCTATGCCCTCTGACCCCACCTTCCCTAAAAAAAAAAGAAGAGTTATTACATCACAGCGCATATATACTTAAGCGGAATATCAAAACAACGGCCCGGGGTGCAAAACGCATCAATGACAGCGACCCTCTACGACACAAAACAACACCATTTATATAAACACCTATCATGACAGGGCACGCACAGCCAAGTACCAATTAAAAATGAATTAAGTCGGCACGGCGACCCACATTGAAAATGGCCTAAAAAGGCCTACCTTTGATGATCAAATCACTTAAACACAAAGTCCATCCTCCTGTCCTTTTTGGATGAAGCACTTGATGGCGGGTCATGCAGCTGATCCTTTGCCACTCCAATTTATCATTGTAACTCAATCTTGAAAATGACTCGGTTAATAATTTCGCAACAATGTCATCACTATCACTGACATGAG